TGGATGTATTCCCGTCGCCAATGTACGTTGGCGACGGGCTATAGCCCGTCGCCAATGTTTTCCGTCGCCAATACCTATCCGTCGCCAATGAACATTGGTGACGGAATTCCCCGTCGCCAATGTTTATTGGCGACAGGATTATTGGTGACGGACTTCGCCCCGTCGCGAAAGTGTATTGGTGACGGATTTGTCCCCGTCGCCAATGTACATTGGCGACGGGTTTGTCCCCGTCGCCAATGTACATTGGCGACGAAAAATGCACGTCGCCAATGTACATTGGCGACAGGTGTATTCCCGTCGCCAATGTAAATTGGCGACGAAAAATGCCCGTCGCCAATATACATAATCAGGTAAAAAAAATTATTTCTGCATTGCAAAGCCCCCCAATCGAGAATGCGTACCTGTTACTACCATTATTCACAATATATTAAACAATACTCACAATATCACATTTATCGATTCGCATCTAACAATATTCACGTTCACCGATTCACATCCAACAATATTCACATTCACATCCAACAATACTAACATTTACATTCATCGATTCACATCCAACAATATTAGTTCAACACAATCCAAAAGTTCACATAATCAGGAGGTCATAATATGTTCAACACAATCCAAAAGTTCACATAATCAGGAGGTCATAATATGTTTAACACAATCCAAAAGTCCACAAAAGTTACCAAAAAGTCTAACTCATCACTCACTCATCATAGTCGTGGTCCCTATCGTCGTGATCCCTATTATCGGTGGCGGCTGCATCAGGATGCCGTACCGTACTGCTACTTCTTACAACGGTACCTCCTATAACCTAAAAAGAATGTAAATCAATATGAGAATATATTCCAAAATGCTCATAATAAATACATATATATAATATGACATATATACCTCTCCACCACTTGCAGCTGCATGCTCATCAAATGCCAACACCATAATATCCGCGTATATAGACTGCGGAAGCAAGTCCTTTACGGGTTGAGAATCGATGAGTCGCTGAACGACATCCCAAGTCGTTTGTGCACCACTTAACTCGTGCTTAATAGTGGGAAGAAAACTTAAAGCCAATGGAATTTCAACATTCTTCATCAAGTATTTTCCAATCTTACCCACGACATATGACGTGTCACCGTGTCGCGTCGATGTCACAGATTGGCTGCTAGGCTTATTGGTGGTGGTGAGTGTCTTAACTCTAGTACTTGACAGAGACACTCTTCCTTTCTTTCTTGAGTGTAAACTGTAAGCTCCGTCGACAACTTCTATCCACTCGTCTCTGGTCATGCGGTTAGGCTCTACAGGAGTGTCCTCTGTACTTCGAGACTGCGTGACACGGGTGAAGACATCGTTTTGAGAAGCTTCCAGCGCCGCCTGCATATCATATATCATAAAAATTAGAAACTTTGATGAAAAATCATTAAGTATATACAAATCTAAAATTAATCTTATACTTACGTTCAATTCATTAATTTTCTCCACCTTTTTGTCATTTACCTCTACATTTTCATAGCCCTAGGGTGGTGTATAAGCTCTTTTAGCCAGAAGAGTCGGGGGGCATAGTCAAAGCGTCCTGTGATATATTAAATTCTAATTTAAATGTAGGAAACTAATCACATGAAATCAGTTTTAATAATATGATCATACCGGGTTTTCGCTCAAATACTTATGCTCGATCTGAGCATAAGAAGTAGCTCCTAAAAAGTGATCGTATAGCTTTGATCTACGATTTGCCGATGCCGTCTCACATATTTTCTACAAAATAAAATATTTTTTTAGTATGTGCGATGATAATATATAAATGAAAAATAACGTGATGATAATGTCATAAATTAAAGAAAGCTTAAAACCAAAGAGGCTTCAACATTCTTCAACAAGTATTGACCAATCTTACCCACGACGTATGATGTGTAAAATATCTATTTTTTAGAGCACTCTTCCAACCCCGAATAAGCTTGGCCATTTTAGGGATAACATAATCCCAAGACTCTGGGTTGTCCTCAAGACAATAATGATCCTGCAAGTTACATGGCAAAAAAATTACACTATAAGAATAATCATTGTGAATTGTAAACAAAATAAGCAGCAATATATTAAATAATTACAGACTACACAGAGGATGTACTATGGGTTTTATTATTCTAAAAATAATTAGAGGGGGGGAAAAGCTATCAGATCTAATCAGTCGCAACGTTACAGTTTGTTTTACATCTAATAAAGATTGGAAAAGGAAATCAGTCGCAACGTCACAGTTCAAGAACAAGCAAAGAAGGTCAGATTGCAACTCCAGATAGAAACCAGGCAAATAAAACTTTATAATGAAACTTTATAAGCAAAGAAGGTCAGATTGCAACTCCAGATAGAAACCAGGCAAATAAAACTTTATAATGAAACTTTATAACAGGATTTAGGGGGTTGGATGAACTGTTTCTTGGGTCAAAGATATTTTATGTATGCCCAAAAATGGTGAGGTCTTTTCCGCTCAGATTCTTAGAGCCAATGCCCTCTATGCAATTTTCCCTAAGTCAATTATAGATTATTGACAATGGTTATAAAAAACGCATCTCAGAGCATGACTATAGGAAACCATAACAAAAGAATAGATCCTAGAATACAAACAATATAACTCGTCTAATATCTAACCTTATATAACAAGAAGAGTTTAGACTACGAGTCAATAATTACTCTTTTGGATGCAGCATTTTCTGGTATGCCAAACATATTTATCAACTTCTCTATATCATGAAAGGATTTCTGATTATGGTATATACGAGTCCTTAATCGATTAAACTTGATTAATTGACAATTAATTTGTTTAGAAAAATAAAAATTCATAGTTCATAGGAGGAAGTGAGATGGAACTTGAAACTACTATGGAAATATAGGGTTTATAATTTGATTAGCACTTGATAATCAAAGATAAACAAATTAGTTTCAGAGTAGTTAAAGAAGCCTTATAATTGATAGAATTGACTCATTAATTTCTAATGACTAGAACTTAATTGATCAAAATTGACTAAGTGATCCCTAATTTGATAGAAAAACTTGTTAAAGATTCACAGACAAATATGAAATCATAGTAGAACTCAAAATTATTGTTGCTATTTGTATTAGTGAAGACAAACAACCCTGAATTCGTCGAGGGCGGCGTGCGGCGGCGGGTCGTCGAGGGCGCCGTGCGGTCGAGGGAGGCAGGTCGTCGGGAGGAGAACGCGGGCGGGTCGATGGGGGGAGATGGACAAATATGAAATCATAGTAGAACTCAAAAGAACTATTATTATTGTTGCTATTTGTATTAGTGAAGACAAACAACCCTGAATTCGTTGAACATATCTACCAGATGCTGAGTCTGCTCATACTTTATAGGTTTTCCGAGTTAAATATATTTGAAGGCCTAACTGTTTAGGGACGGAAATTATCAGTCTTGTTTGTCAGTCGATAATTCATCAGAATAAACCACAGGAAGTGCACCTGACAATCTCAATAAGACAAACCTACCAAACCACAATCTTACGGAAGAAATACAATTTCATTGCAGCATGAAGATGCCCAGACAGAAAGTAAGTCTACATAAGTAGTTTATTGCTAAAGGAAATTACCATTGCTGTGTGAAGTTGATTTGTCTCCGAACGATGATGGAATGAATTGGGACTTTTTTGCCTTCTGTCTCTTATACACCCCAAAGTATAAATAACTGGCCAATCCAAGGAGAACAATTATCACAGCTACAACAATTCCAGCGATGCCGCCTCCCGAAAGTCAACCCGTTTGGACCTAGTTGATAAGTTCTGGTATGATAAGTTCTGGTATGATAAGTTAACCCGTTTCAAAATTAGTCCGATTGGCTATCTTCAATATTTCAAAATTACTCACTCAAATCATGGAAATTTCTATTACTTCCCTCAAATTATCACAATATTTACTATTAGGTCCCCTAGTTAACACCGATTATATTTAAAGAAATATTTTTTTTAAATCTAACTATTATTACTAGTTTTCCTTGACTTTTAATTATAAAAAGTTAACCCGTTT